GGAAGCTTTTTGGGAAATTTTTTGAGGAAATTTAAATTATAGACTGAAGTACTGTAAGAAATGAATTTTTTTGAGGTTAGTAAGAATAAATCTCAAGCTATTATATCATAGATTAGTTACAGCTTGCCTGAGGGGCAAGCCCAAAAATTTGTTTTCTTTGTACCCTGGTGTGTGGTGTGTGTAAGGATATAGCCACTTAGCCCTTTGCACGCATTTCATGCCTATGATGTTGTACCATAGTAGAATAGACAGGGTAGAGAGGGTAAAAGCCAGAGAGCCCTTTGCAAGTGTTATGTCATGGATCAAAATTTATCAGTTTTCAACTTTGATTTAGCATACATTGTTTTCTACAGATGAACTCAAGATGCTGGACAGAGTAAGTAAAACATTGCAAAATATGTCTGCATCAAATGCCAACTTCCACTTCTCACCCTTATCTCCTAGCAAATAAAACTAAAACTGTAGGATCACTGTGCAGTCCACAAACTGCTCAGCGATAACTTGTGATGCCACAGATCTGTGATCAGAAATTATTTAACAAAACCATTTTCCAACCTCAGGTACATGTACATGCAATTGAGCCCTGCTAATACCTTTCTCTTACTCCTCATCCCTACTTTAAATTCTAAGCTACTGGACTTGGAGAAAAGGACACATTAACAGTCTAGTAATAAGTAATCAAATCCAAATTGCTAAGCATGCACTGGTAACTCAGGCTTTGTGAACAAATTTCAATCTCTTGCAGTGCTATGAGATCTATGTGACTCTCTGCCACAGGCAGTGTTGCATGACAATGTCCGCCACCAGGATGGTGATTGAGAACACCTGAAATATATTCTAAACAATCTAAATGCTATAGATGTATTTTGGAAATTGTCATGCAACACCTCCAAAAGGGGAATTTCATATAGATCTTATAGTACTACAAAAGATTGACATTTCTGTACAGAGCCAGATCAAGTGCCTGTGCTAAGTCGAGTTTTTCTGATAAGGGGTATTCTTGATCTTCTTAAGGGCTTTGCTGAAGAGATAGAAAAATTAGATTTAGAATTCAGGCTTTGTGTACAAATTTCAATCTCTTGCAGTGCTATGAGATCTATGTGACTCTCTGCTGGAGGTGGTGTTGCGAGAAGGTGTCAGCCACAAGGATGGCGATTTCCAAATGTAAAGAGAACACCTAAAATTTAATCTAAACAGTGTAAATGCCATACATGTCTTTTGAAAAGAATTGTCATGCAACACTTCCTAAAGCATAATTTCACATAGATCTTATAGTACTACAAAACATTGACACTTGTGTACAGAGCCAGATCAAGTGCCTGTGGCAAGTCAAAATTTTCTGATAAGGGACAGACCATTATTATTTTCCAAGAAGAATTCCTACACAGCAAAAACTGCTGAAAACAAAATTGTGCAAGGGAAGCCACAGGGAAAAAAATCAAGCTGGCCAAGTGCTTTCTACTTTCATTATTCTGATTTTTGATGTTAAAAAAATTCCTGCACAAGCTATTGCCCACTGAAAAAAATCACGCCCAACCTAACGGTGAGCAAAAATTTCATGAATCAAAGAAAATTGCCCAACCTCCATCCCCCCCCCCCCCAACAAAAAAATAATGGTCCATCCTTAAGGGTTAATCTTTATCTTCTTCAGGGTTTCTTTGAAGAAATAGAAGATTTAAAGTACGCACTCCAGCAGGCAGCAAGACTAAACAGTGCTTACGAGAAAGCACTGAAGCAGTTGTGTTCCCAGAGTGGTGTTGCCTTCCCTAAAATAACTACAACCACACCAAAAAAGCGAAGTAGGAAACGAACAAGATCACAGACGAGAGAATTTACCGGTAGATAGCTTTTTAACGAGCAGGCAAAATTAACTTTCAAGGCTCAAATCAAAATGTAAAGTGTAACTGTTGTTACACATAATTTAATTATAATAAATAATGTTCAGACAAATACCCCCAGATAAGTCACAAAGTGTCAACAAAATGGTTCCTTAGTTTTTCCCAGGATAAATACAATCATGTTAGTTTCATTAACTAAAAGTATGCCCTTTGTTTATCTCAAAAGCACAAAACATTTCCAGTGCTGAGTTCAAAATAGCAAGTCACCTTCCTTACAATACTGTTAGTAGTAATGCAATTACTGGTAATGAAAGCTGTCATGTCTAAAATGCTTATTGAATAGAAATAGTTCTAAGCAGGCTGGTAAATGAATGTGGCATTGTTCACTTATTTATAGTTTGAATGGTACATATTTTGACTTGCATAGCAATAAAGAATTCCTCAATGCTGTGAGGCCATTCCTCTGAGCTTTATTCCATCTACTCTTACTAAGTGAATGAAGATTTATGTTTGAAGTGTTCAACATTGAGGCATTTATTTAACTGCAACAACATATTCAGTAAAAAATTGATTCAGCACCTGAAAGAGTAATTTAATTTTGGAAACCCCCACCCCCACCTCAACCACCAGGAAAGCTTGCTATAAGGGTTATCAAAAATGGTAAACAGCCTACTTGTTTTGGGAGGTCACTGTGTTAGTGTAGCTCAAATGTACAATATTCAAGCTGATCGAACTTTCAGAAGCATTCATGTCTTTAAAATTCAACAATATTGACTTGGCATTAATTTGAACTGCCTTTTCTCTCATCAATGTTATTTTGAAAAGTTTGCTGAATCATTAGGTTCAAATATATACCACACCTCAATTAAAATGCTGATTAGAATTACTCTCGACTGGGCACTTGGTTATTTGAAACAGTTAATTCAAAACAGGGCAGTTATATGAGAGGGGATACCATAGTTACAAGACTTAGTTCAAGAGGTTGCTAAATCAAGTCATTAGTAATATTAGTTTATCTGTCTTGCACTGACTGAGCCAGGACTTGTTGTAGAATAGCATCTTCATCATTGTCAAAATCCTGTTAGATGAGGTGAAAACTGAGTAAATATAACATGTTAAGCTGCATTATACTTAGTATTACTTTTACTAGTAAGAATGACATGCTTTATCACAAATAATAATAATAATAATAATAATAATAATAATAATAATAATCAAATCCTCATAATTTCAGTTTTTGAGCAGAAATAAACAGTCTATGAAAGCCCTTGAAATGGGGAAACACTGGTGTTAATGTTTTCCCCACAATGTTGTTTACCTTTTTTTGTGTGAAAGCAAAATCGGTCTGTAACAGTACAGAGGCATTAGCAAATTCTTCTTAAAACCCAGTAATATTTTTGCCTCTGGGAAATTAAATTTAGATTCCAAGACAAGTGATGCATGTGAGTGCAAAGAGGGAAACATTATTTTATATTTTATTTTAAGAAACAATCTTTCAGTAATGAAGTGTCCTGGTGACTTCTAGGCTCAATTTCCAGCCATTTTGGGAGTCAGTGTGGTTGTTTATCCTCCTCCCAGGTGACTTCATGACCCCTAGACTTGCTTTCTACAATTATTCTGCATCTGGTATAGGAATTCTCAGCTTAATTTAATTGCAGCTGAAGGATCTAGGTGTCAGAATAAAAGGGAGCTTAAGCAAACCGTGACCACAAAACGTTTAATGAGCCAAACAGTGGCTATGCAGGTGTGTTCAAAATCTTTGTACATTTCT